AAGTAGCATGTGACTGAATAAAATTCCGTAGGAGGATGTTCGTAATTTGTACGCTTCTATGAACGAAATTAAGATTATCTAACGAAGAGGATGCGGTGTGATTGGCAACCATGCGAAATACAAGGTTTTGACACCCCGACAGGAAGACCACTTGCAAGAAGCATATAGATTATAAGATAATATTAGAATGAATGTTAGAGACGTGGCGTAGGATAGTGTAGACTTTATTCAGTTGGCCCAGGACGACGACTAGTAGCGGACTGCTTTGAAAACAGTGGTGAACCTTCGGATTAAACGAAAGACGGAAATTTTCTTCACCCGCATAGCGACTATTAGCTTCTGTAGATGGACTGGTCTTCGTGTAGGTATTTAGTCTACAAGCATTCGTGCAGAACTGTTGACAGATACCTTTTTTTGCTTCCTCCTACGACCCTTTGCAGCGTATTCATGGGCGTTATATTGCTTAATGGTTTGCTGTGGCTCGGAAAATTGATGTGCTTTTCCACGAGCTGAGGGAAAATTGTGCCCATGAATACTGTGAAAATTGGCAACGACGTGTGGAACGAAACAAGAACATAACTACAGAAAGGAAAAGGGACCAAAATGATGAATGGCTGACTGACTCGTGAACTCTGAACCAACTACAACACTTGTTACGTACGGGCAATAGAAATATGGATCCTGGCAGATGTGAAATGTTGCGTGAAGTTTTGACAGCGAAACAGAAGTAAAATTCATAAAACAGAAATGGTTAGGATGAAAAAATGAAGAAGATCGAACATAAAAAGAACGAAATAGAAAAGAAAGAATGAACGAAAGTAGAAAGAGGACTCGAGCAATAATTCCCTTTCCACAACCGTTCATAAATCTTTCTCTGCATCCACCTTTCTGCAACACCCATGTGAAAGGCTCATTACTGATTCTTTGCTGATGACCGCGTTTCGAGACATTAAAAGTAGAAAGAGTAGAGTGAACTTTCGCTTCAAAGCGCAACTCAAACTGGGACCTCATTGGGTTTCATATTTCTACCTCTAGATAGCAACTAAATCTTTTTTATATTCTTTTTTTTTTTTGTTTCTGTGGCGCTGCAGCCCCAGTGGGCCTAGGCCTACCTCCATGAAGCTCCCCGTTTCACTTCGGTTTACTAGATCTTACACATTCCGTAGGACTCCTTGAGCGAGTGATCAGCTCGTCGCAAGGCCTCTACCTGTAGACAAACACAGAAAAACGCACACAAACATCCATGCCCTGAGTGGGATTCGAACCCACCATCCCGGATTCCGAGCGAGCGAAGACAGTGTTATATTCTATTACTGGTGAGAATTCTGCTCCAAGTCTTATGCGTTTGATGGAAGTAACCACTGTTGCAGACATTTCGGTGGTACATTTTGCTTCCTCCTTCAGGGTCGATGTGAGTAGCATGAGTAATTTTGTAGTACTGTAAAAGCTGGTTATAACGGATTTCATATATAACGACAAAATGTGGCTTTGAAGAGTCGTTAATTTTTAGAGATGTTGAGACACTAAAAAGGTTTTATAATTAGAAGACTATTGAAATAAAAGTGAGTCCAATATTAAAACCTTGATTAATCAAATTGTGCTTTTCTATGTTCATAGCGTGTATTGCTATGTATCCTCTGGTATACATTCGTGAATGCCCCTTCTCTCGATTATAGCTGACAGCAATAACGGGCACCCTGTCCGCATTATTAGTGCTTTATAACAACGGTTCGCTTTATTTTATCATGTTTAGAACATCCATGTTAAAAGACTTCGAATTTTCTTTCCAGTTCCACCCATTTCTAGTCTTAATCTATTACGGTTATGTTTTACTTTATTTTACTTTGTGAAGAGGTTACCACGTGAGTACAGGTTCCGCAGGCCGTTAACTGTGTCGGATATAACCTCAAACCTTGGCCATGTTTTGTTTGAAGAAAGCAGTCTTCTGGGATTTGGCACCGTGTATATGTGGTGTTAACCGACGTTTCGGATGAACGTATCGCCTCCATCTTCAGGGTAGAAGGAAAAATATAAGAAATTCGCAAGCGAAGAGACCGTGAGAACTTCCTTCTACCCTGAAGTTGGAGGCGATACGTTCCTCCGAAACGTCGGTTAACACCACATATACACGGTGCCACATCGCAGAAGACTGCTTTCTTCATAGTCACCGCCATGAAAGCCTCAAATCTTACACATGTTTTTATTTTTTTTGTAAAGAAGAATACATGCATTGTGTGCAGGATACCCAAGATGTGTCTCCATATGAAATATCACCTGCATTTTGCATTTTCATTATCATAATCGAAAGCTGAAGAAGAAATTTCCGCGGGCATCATGTCTCTCGAAACACTAACAAAATATAAAAATAGTTCTTAACTTTATGAAGCCACAAAACATTAAAACAAAATACGCTCTTCCCCATATAGTAAATAACCTAACTGACCTCTCATATTTGACCCATTAGTTATTTGTGTCTTTATTATTCGTCTGTCCCACCTACAGCATTTTATATACAGCGCGGAAAGTAACCGCAATACTGGGACAGGAAGTTGAATGACGTAACCATTTCCGTAATTATAGTTTTATGTAAATGTGCAGCTACATGACTGCTGCTACCTCTACACGGTCTAGAATGAAACTAGTTACAAGTAAACCAAGAGGGCGAGACAATGGCGAAACGTATGTTCAGTTTAATACATTAATTACTTAGTTATATGGAGTTAGTCTCCAATAAAACAAAGATTGAAATCTATATTGTTCTTGTTGGACAATCTGGTTCTCTAGATTAGCTGTTCCAGGCTCTTTGTGTTGTACTGAAAACATATACACTCCATTCTGAATGTCATGTGAACGACCGGTGTGTCGTGTGTGTGAATAGAATGTTGTGGAATTAAATTGTCGTTGAAATTATGAACAAGCTGTTACAAGAAAAGTTAATTACTTCGAGAGGGTTTAGAGCTGTAATTAATCACCAAAACTAACTACAGCAATACAGTATTCGGAGCAAGGAAATGGACTCGGATAAGGAAATAGTGAGTTACTACATGAACACAGATTTGTAGCTACTAGAAATTAATTCATCCTCACAGGCTACGTGATGTAATTAAAACGTGATATGATTTATATGTAACAGTTGTGTACTACAGCACAGTGACTGATTCAGACAGACATTCCAATCAAAATACAAGAAATTCATGGAAAACTTAGGAAGCGTTAGGAAGTCTTGTCTGTCTGTCTTATCTCTCTCTCTGTCTCTTAGATGTTATAGCCTGAATAGAAAGCGTATTCAAATCCATAAACTAACAGTTCATGACTTTACTTTCCGCCAGTATTACCTAACTTCAGTTACGAGTCAGTTTTCAGACATAACCTCAAACGTCTTGCATCATCGCCATAAGTAATTCAATTACGAAACGCTATTCTAATGAGAGTAGCGTACTATTCACCAAGTGTAATTAAAATGATCAAGTCAAGGAAGATGAGGTGGGCAGGGCATGTAGCACGAATGGGGGAGACGAGGAATGCATATGGGATATTGGTGGGAAAGCCAGAAGGAAAGTGACCACTCGGACAACCAAGGCGTACGTGGGTGGACAATATTAAAATGGATCTTAGACATATAGGATGGATGGTATGTACTGGATTTATGTTGCTCAGGATAGGGACCAGTGGAGGGCTCTTGTGAACACGGTAATGAACTTCCGGGTTCCATAAAATGTTGCGAAGTTCTTGAATAGCTGCACAACTGCCGGCTTCTCGAGAAGGGCTCAGCTTCGTGAAGTTATTGTTTCATCGTGTTTGTAACATGAACAGATATATGAACATTTTAGGCCACACAACATGCGTGCGCATTCTCCAACTTGTCTCTACAAGAGGGTTGCGTTTCATTTCGGCACAAATGTACCGTTTTCGGGTCCTCAGTTACCGCGTAAACTTTTATACTGTGCGGCCATTACTTGTAGTTTGCGTGTAATTTTACTTTTTGTGTCCATTTGCCTTTCATGTGCTTATTAAATATTAAAATTATTCTTCCCTTTTATATTACAAGGTTTTGATATTAGTACAATTTTCTGTCGCATGTAGTGGTCACTTAACGCCGAGAAATGTGGATATAATTCTCAATCAAAAATATTCCCATTGTTTCTTTTTTCTTTTTTTATTGGTCGTGGGGTGGGACTAAGTCCCTTTTACTGTGGCCACTTCTGTCCTATTGTACCAGCCCCAGGTGATATGAGAGGGTGATTGTGGAGCAATTGGTGGATTGAAGATTGGCAGGGGAAACCGAAGTACTCGGAGAAAACCTGTCCCAGCGCCACTTTGTCCACCACAAATCCCACTTGACCAAACCCGGGCCGCCGTAGTGGGAAGCCAGCGACTAACCGCTTGAGCTATGGCGCGGCCAAAATTCCAATGACCATATCGGGAATTTAATCCACGACTTTCAGGCTTGTATCATAGTTCCTCAACAAACTACGCTACCAAGTGATAGCTCACGCTGTTTCTTACTTAGTCTTATGATATTCCGCAGGAAGCATTCTTATTTAACATTGGTTCTGACTGGAGTGTTCCTGTAACTGTAGTTGAACATATGCAGTATAGAACGGTATAGAAGGTACAGTAGCTCTCTCTGTCTAATCCCACCCAATACCTCTTCCCCTGTCGTCAGTACAAATTCCCCTACTCTTTTCCCCTCTCGCGGTTAACCGGTTTCCTTCCACGTGTCAGTTTGCTTCTCTGTACCACTCAGTACACTCACTATCCAGACAGCATTTACGCAGTGCCTACGTAAGTACAGCCAATACTTAATATAAAAATTGTTCCAGAGATATTGCACACACTTCCTTGTTTACCCTTTTGACGCTAGAGAACGTGCCGTTATTTTCCTAAAGATGTCACATATGTTATTCAGTGAGATGTGTCCATAAATTTCCGGCGTTTAATGAAAATCGTTCGAGTCATTCTCGAGAAAATCAAATTGTGTGTTTGGGCGCCGCCATGTAAGCCGACACAGACCAATGACGGCTACACTCTCAGGTAACTGAATATAAATAGAATTCGTTTAGAAGGTATCGAGGTGCACAGACGGACACAAGCATTTCAGATCCTCTCCTGTTTTTTATTCAGAGACGCTGAAAACATGGATATCCGTCTTTATCCAGAGGAATATTTAGCTTGTTAATACTAGGCTGTGCACCTAACACAGAAAATTGCTCTGTAGTGCTACTGGTAATTTCAAGTCTTAAGTGATCTGTGACAAGTAATTTCCTACCTAATTTCTTATACAATGCAATTAACATATTTACGGATTTCAGCCAAGGGGCATCCTGTAGCGTAATTGGTTGAGGAACTATGCTACAAGCCGGAAGGTCGCGGGATCAAGTCCTAATGAGGTAATTCGATTTTTCCAATTGACCTAGCCCTTCCAGCCGCACCATGACCCTGGGATCGACATAGCCTCTAACAGAAATTAGTACCAGGAATATTCTTGGGGGTAAAGCGCGGCCGGAGCCTAGGGCTGACAGCCTTGCCGCCATCTATGAGCCGATTGTCTGCAAAATGTGGGAACCTCAACATCTCACAGCCCTATGGGTCTTCAAGGCCTCTTACAGGGATACCTTTACTTTTTCTTTTACGGGTTCCAGCCAACGCTTGACTAATGGAGAGCAGCCCGTTTCGATACGTTGTTATGCATCTGAGACCCGGTTGACAGTGTCCGGTCTGTATGAGTCACTGACATGAAACGATGGCGGGCAGGGAGGCAGTTGTACGTACATAACCACAGTATCGAACATGAACTAGATTGAGATACGATGTTTCTGGGCATTATCCATCGATCTGTTTTATCTAGAACACCGTCCTTTTTTTTTTTAAACAACGTTAGACAACAGCGTTAGAGAGCTATCATAAAATTCATAATGGAAATTTTGAAGCTGATGATACCCTTACATCCTTAAATGTTTTGGTCATGATGAAGGGTCCTGAATTGATCACGAAAGTGTACCGGAAGCCTACTCCTATTTGAGATATCCCCACGCTAAAACCCCATAAATCTTGGAGAGCCAGTTTTTTCTGTCATGGTTGTATCTCGTAGCTGATTGGTCCCAATTTTGAATCTTCAGGAACGCGCATTTCGCCCCTGCATGACTCAGCTGTGGGCACTCATATATCAGACTTCGTAGAAAAAATGGCATTACCCAAGATTTAATAGCACACATCCACCCTCAAGATATGCACCCTCGGGGCCACATACTACCCCTTTGACCCCCAAACTTATCAGTCTGCAATATTAATGAGTTTATAAAAGCTTTCCTCCTGTACACTCTTTTGCATCCTATTATCTTTCGACGGGGGCACGCGGGAGCGTAGTTGGTTGAGGCACTATGCCACAAGCCGCAAGGTTGCGGCTTCGAGTCCCGGTGAGGTAATTGGATTTTTTAATTGACCTAATCCTTCCAACCGCACTATCGCCCTGGGTTAGACCCAGCCTCTAACAGAAATTAGTACCAGGAATTAATTAANTTACTTTTACATAATAATAATAATAATAATAATAATAATAATAATTAATTACACCCATACTGTAACCGAATTCCCTCCCCTAAGAACACGACAGTAGGAAACTCCTCTTGTGCCCTCCCCCCAGAATACACAATGCCCCTATCGGAATAGCTTGTCACTACTTGTAACACGGTTTTCTGAACAGCAATGATTCGAGAGTAATCAAATGTAATGGGCGGGCGGCATGCTCGTGTGTGACGGATGGCGACATAAACTGCTGTGTACGGAAATCCATTGTGCTGCATCCGACAAACGGGGAGGATGTGAAACGAAGTTGTCTCCAGGAGTTGGCTCTTCGAATCCAGGCCGGAACCCCTCTACTAACTGAGGTTGCTTCCGGTTTCCGTCAGTCCTTCCACGAAGATGCCGACTCGTATAATTTGATGTTCTCTCAGCGGTAGCTATAAAGAGTTCATCGTCCGGGGTGTATCACCGTTAATCCGTTGAAAATTAAGAAGTTTCGGAGGAACATGTCGCCTCTGTCTTCAGGGTTGAAGAGTGCATTTTCGTTTTGCGTGCTGCATGCAGTTCTGAGTTCTCATTGAGACTTGTCCACATCAACAGGACGAAGCAATACCCATAGTTAAAAATAGTCAGTTCGAACTTCGAACGGTTTGACGTTCGAACAACTTGAAACTCGTTCTCAGGGAACATGTGAACCTAACCTGTGTTGCTGAGCCGTAGTTCACGAAACGAATAGTTGAGGAACCATGTTAGCTCAGTCGGTATAGCGACAGGCTACGGGCTGGACGACCGAGGCGTCGAAGTTCGAGTCCCGTACGGTCAAGAATTTTCTCCACGTCGTCCAGACCGGCTCTGGGATCCACCAACCTCCTATCTAATGGGTACCGGGGGCTTTATCTCGGAGGTAAAGCGGCCGGTTAAACTGAAAACTAATTTTAAGGAAGTTGACTAATGCACTACAGTGTAAAAACTGTTTTTGGAAATTTGAAAATTAAATATATAACAATAAGCGATAAAGTGTTTGGGGGGGGGGATTTCCGAAGTTGTGGGTTTTCTGAGTGATGGCTACGTGGAAGTTATACAAAACAGACAACCGGACACTCTTCTTTATACGTATAAAAAGCACACCACACCAATAAATATTTTAACTTATAAATGTGCATTGTACTTTATGTTAGTATCTTGCCTGTACGGGCTTCGCCCTTGACTGGATGCAGATTAATTGGTCTTCAGACTCGGCTGATTGCTTGCGAATATGTTGAACTAGCAGTGCCTTTGCGTACTGCCACTGACAAGCTTCCAAGTGGCGCCTCAATCGGCGTTTCCATGAACTCGTTGAAACTGACTCGGAGAGAACATTACATTTCTACGGCCACTGTCAAGCCGTCAGATGGCTACTTCATCGGCATTCGTTTGAACTTACTGCAAATGGCATGGAGGATACATTCCTTTTTGTTTGCAGAGAGGGCTAAGTGTTCCTGGGCAGGCAGCAGCGCCCTCAGATTTGTTGAATAGGTGGGATCCTAACAGCCACTCACCCTGAAGATTAAAATGTTACGAAATATTACACTCAGCATTGTATTAGGACGATTTTTGGGAAGGGGGGAATTAGTGTGTGATGTAGTGGACCGTATTCAGTGGTCCAGTTTTGCCAACATGATAATGGGCCACCAATTTCCTTGAATGGCGAGAAATTTTATGTCTAAAAACTAATTGAATTGCGTCGTGAAATATTTTATGGTTTCGCAGTTATCGGATGACATAGACCGCCCGAAAGATACTAGATTTTATTTCTAATAAGATGGGCGACAAGTAACCATATCGGAATCTTTCATTGAACACGTAACAATTGTCTTCAATAAGAAAACCTACTCATGGAATGACGTGCCCTCGGATATGTTTAGACACTGTCAGCTTCTTATGACGATGAAATCTGCTTCATGAAGTTATGAAACTTCGCTTGCTTCATGAAGTTGTGAAACTTCGCTCGCTTCCCAGCGAGGCGGCCCGGGTTGGAACCCGGGTCAGGTCATATGGGATTTGTGGTGGCCAAAGTGGGACTGGAGCAGGTTTTCCCTGCCAATCTTCTTTCCACCAATTGCTCCACTCACCATGATCTGTCATTTGGGGCTGGTGCAATAGGCCAATAGTGGCTACATTACCAAGTTTACTCAGTCTCACCCCATGAAGAATAGTAGTAATACAGGATGATTCATATAGAACCGGCCCGACGAAATGAGCTGCAATATAAAATATACCATACAGATATTAAAGTAATTTACACATCTTATCTTGGATTGTGTGCCGTGATCAGAGCAGGTGTTGAAAGTGTCCGTCGTTTTCAAGTAGGCACTAGAAACACTCGCTGTTCAACAGTGAACTCCATGACTGTCACCTGCGCACTGCAGACACGTTTCGGGATTGTCCTTGACCTTGCAGCATAAGGGCTGCCACTTGCCGGGTCGTGCGCACACCATTCGACTCAGCACGGCCCACTGATTATTATGTCGTAATTGTTATATGCATCACCTGCGGAATTATTAGCAAATTCATCGGGTCGGTTCTATACAATTCACTCTGTATAATATAATAATAATAATGAAAGTTAGGAAGCTTAAAAGGAAAATAAAAAGGATATTTACAAAAAGGTGTCGTTATTGAGATTAATGGAACTTCTGTTTAAAAGTGGTAGGAAAATGAAAGCTTAAACTTTAGACGTGTTCCTTCCTCTTTGCTGTTAGGTTTCCACAATCTCTGGTTTCTGATCTTCACTTGTTTCATTCCACAGCAGGGACCAGAGAGAGTGGCGGCCTGAGCCGATACCCTGTGCTGGTGTACGTGCACGGGGAGTCGTATGAATGGAATTCTGGGAACCCGTACGATGGCAGCGTCTTGGCCAGCTATGGCGGGGTTGTGGTTGTCACCATCAACTACAGGCTGGGAATTCTAGGTGAGTTGGCTAATGGATTTGATACACAGAGCATTGCATATTGCTTCCGTAATGTGCGTCAGGGCATCTTACTCAAGGTTTCAAATGTTTGAGATGTGTTAATCCCTCTGTTGTATTGCTTGCTACTATCTTTCAATTCAGAACCATCTGTCTTGCCGTGTGCTATCCAAGAACGTAATTTTTATATAGTTTTGCATTGATGTGAAACTTGCCTCTCACATTAAGGGAAAATGAGACATTGAGGATATTTGAGAACGTGGTGCTGAAAGGAATATTTGGACCAAACGAGGAAGAAGCAGCATGATGCTTCATTGACATCCGTTAATTTTTTTCAAAAGTTATTAGTGGAGGACAAATACATGAAGTCCTCATAAAATTGTACCATCTTATAAAGGATATAATGTAGTATTAAAGGGGTAAGGTCGGCAAAAGATTACTTTTCATTTTTATTTCTTACTGGGTTCAAACCCAGTGCGAGGTTTGCCAAAAATGATCGTGGGAACTTTTAAGACGAATCCCCGAATTTTCTGACTTTCCACATTACACGATTTTAGTTCAGACATCAGTGATTACGAAGAGTTGTATCTTTTGGGATATAACTTCGCTTAGTCCTTTGAAATTTAACTGATGTTTCGGAGGAATATGCCTCATCAGGTTAATTAAGCCGCTAAAGAAACAAACTTACCACCTATTAAATTTACGTTCGTTTCTTGCTTTTCTTATTCTTCGACGCAGGAAACCGATTCTTGCTCCTCCGAAACGTCTATTGACTTTCAGATGTCTCCACTGAGTTATATCCCAGAAGACAACTATTTTCAACATTTTCTTTTCGCTCCCTCCCCTTTGTCTGGATTAATTATAAGTACACAGTAGAACAACATGGCTGGCGTGTTGCATGCAGAAGATAAATAAGTGTTACCAGAGAGGCAGATGTTCCCGACTGTTACCTACTCAAAAGTAACTATGCCCCGCGGAGTGAGCTCCCTCAACATGATGTATACTCTTAGCGTCGTGTTCTCCTGTTATGCGTGTAGCCGTTCATTTGCCTACAGGCGGAAAACTGTTTTCGTAAATTTCCAACCTTGCTTAATTCGCAGTGGATATGGGTTGTTAACATGGAATTCTAACACAGTGAGGTAATAGCATACTGCTTGATGAGGCCGAGTTTGTCTGTCCTATTAGGAGTGGATCTCAGCTTGTAAGATAGTGCATTGGGGACTCTTAAAAATATTACCTCAAGGGAAAGTTAAGGAGCGCTTCAGTCACTGTAGGCATTTTAAATCCTGCTGCATACAAAGTGCAATATAACGGTGAGATGAAAGCTCTAAAATTAAACAATTTCTGGTCACTAGAGCAACAGATTGTCTATCGTTAACACACTGCATGAACGTAAGTTATGTAGTATATACGAGTATATCTAACAGAAATCACCGAAGCCCTCTTTCGGAATGGCCACTGAATATACCAAGATTCGAACTAGTTATCTTCGAACAGAAGTCAAGATTGTTACTGCTATGTCAGTGTGTTCGAAACAATACTATCCACGACATGTGTTAAGGATAATTCATCCTTATTTCTAAGTATCCACGGCATCTGATGAAGATAAATCATCCTTATTCCAAAGTATTCATGGCATGTGCTGAAGATAATTATTCCTAAGTATCCACGGCATGTGTTTAAGATTCTCATCCTTACTCCTAGGTATCCACGGCATGTGATAAAGATTACTCATCCTTATTCCAAAGTATCCACAGTTCCTTGGCCGCGCCATAGCTCAAGCGGTTAGTCGCTGGCTTCCCACCGCGGCCGCCCGGGTTCGATCCCGGGTCTGGTCAATTGTGATTTGTGGTGGACAAAGTGGCGCTGGGGCAAGTTTTCTCTGAGTACTTCGGTTTCCCCTGCCAATCTTCATTCCACCAATTGCTCCACAATCACCCTCACCTATCATCTGGGTCTGGTACAACAGGCCAGAAGTGGCCGCAGTACAGGGGACGTAGTCTCACCCCAATAGCAAAAAATAATCCACCGTTCCTGGACGGCCTAATAACGGCGTTAAATGCGAGTTAAGCCTGTACCTTCTGGAGTCCTTGGATGAAAAGTTTGTTTCCCAGCTGCACATCGAAACGACTCACCGCCTGAACTGTGTGTGTGTGTGTGTGTGTGTGTGTGAGGGTAAGCGAATTTCGTGATGCACCAATGAGACGTGTCGTTGCTACATTCTCATAGTTCCCTCACCATAACAAACACTTCTCCGCTCGCCCTGTGTCCCAACACAGGCTGCGATGCGTATTCCGATTAGACCAACTTGGTTGGAGAAAACACCAGAGCCACCTGGCCACAATGCGGTTAACCTCAGATGTTAACTGTTGCGAAGTTTCCTACTCTAAAGAGATCGGTTCTCTGCTTAATGCTATGCAAGTTAAGCAGAAGCAGCTTATACCTCCAGGCCGTACCAGTGGAGCTCCCGCTTTGGATAGGCAGCTCCGTCTACTTCACACTCTTTAGATGTAACAAAACCTCACCCGTAACCCAGGATACCGCAGGGACTTTCATAGAACAAGAGTGATATAAAGGGCTTGAAGTTTTCAAAACAGACAAGTTCCGACTTCACGTTGCGTTCGATCTGCAGTGAGAATTCTATAATAGAAAGTTTCTCAAAAGAATACCAACATTTAATTTTTTTATTTATTGAATGCCTTAAACTAAACAATCTTTGAATTCATCGACGTAATTTACTTCATGTATACGTATTGTCATGCTGTTAGGAAAGCTTAGGAAAACTGGGTGGGACTGAAATTAAATGGAACACCTCAGTTGCTAGTCTGTGCTGATGATACAAATCTATTGGATTAAGTTTCGCGTGCTGTGTATGTAACGCGACAGATAAATTCACGCGGGTCTCGGATTTGGCTAAGACGTTTACTGGACAACTTCACAACTTCACTATTGCAACTACTTGTGCCGCTGATCTTGGTGAAGTGTCTTCTATCCTTTGTCGGATGCGAACTTGTAGAATTGTAGAATATAAAGCATGTATGAGTGCCCGAATTATTACCCTAGTCGTTGGTATAAATGTCGATCTTCTCATGATGTGTACTTCCCGCATTCATGGCGTAGTGTAACCCAGATAACTGAAGGTACTGGCATTTGAATTAAGTAATTCATTGATGAATTATTGGTTAAGTATAAAGTGGATTTGTCGATTCACGGGTTTCAGTTCAGCATTTGTAATACGCTACCGCTCAGGGGGATAATCGCTGGCTTCCCACCGCGGTGGCCCATGTTCGACATCGGGTGAATCATGTGGGAATTGTGGTAGACAAAGTGGCGCTGGGGCAGGTTTACTCCGAGTACTTCGGTTTTCCCCGCAAATTCTCATTCCCCCAAATGTCCCATGCTCAACATCCGGGTCTGGTACAATAGGCCTTACTGGCGACGTACCAAGTGGACTGAACCTCACTCCAGCCCACGAAACTAATAGGTAACTGTAAGCCCAGTTACATTTAATTTTAACTCCTTGCACCGCGTTAGATGGGCGCGTATAAACACGTGATGATATCAACATCAGAGAGCTCCTCCGCGCTTTGCTGACAACCTGTACACCACAGTATGAATGCTGATTAGTGGTTATAATAGTTGATTAGCTGGGATAACGTCTCCGTCGTTTAGGATAATCAATTTTCTGGATAATCAATCACCACAGTTTAACAGCACTGATGCAATTTGATGCTCTGTTTGCTACCTACAACTGTGCAGCGGTAGAACAACATGGCATCCCGTGCCAGTAACATAATTTGCTTCTTTATTCTGCAGCCCATCCTATTATCAGCGAAACACCGTAGGAATTAGCGTCTTGTTAGACATAAATAATAATAGTAATAATTCGAAGCCGGTCACGATAGCCGAGCGGTCTAAGGCATGTACTATCTTCGCTCGCTTGGAAACCGGGAATCCCACCTAGCGCATGGATGTTTAGTTTGTGTGTGTGCGTTTTTCTGTGTTTGTATACAGGTAGAGGCCTTGCGATGAGCTGATCACCTGCCCAAGGAGTCCTACCGAATGTGTAAGATCTAGAAAAACCGAAGTGAACGGAGAAGTTCATGGAGGTAGGCCTAGGCCCACTGGGGCTGTAATGCCAAGGGAAAAAAAATAATTCGAAAGGTAATATGTTTCGGCGTTAGCCTCAGCTGCCTTCAGTTGTTTAGAGAGGAAGATTCAAGTGTCATTATTTGGTACTGCTCTTTTTCACCAAGGTTTTTATATATTTGGTCAAGTCCTAAAACACAGAATATGTAGAAAGTGACATTTATCTTGCTGTGCTTATATTGTGATTATATGATTAATTAATTAATATTTATTTGTACAAAATTTACTAACGACATATGGATATTACTAAGACTGTGATTTTAGAAGTCAAACACCATGTTTGCTCTTCAAAATTTGTGACAGGTCTACATTAGTACAAACATAATGTTTCTGGACATTTTCAATCGGCCTATCTTTATCTGAAAACAGGGCGGTGTTTGTATACAAAGACAGGTCAATGGTTATCTGAAATTACCGTATTTACGCATGTATAGGCCGCACATTTTTTGCCAAAAATTCAAGAGGAAAACTGTGGTGCGGCTTATATTCGAAATATTCGAAATCACACTTCATTTAAAAAAAATTAACGTTGCCAAATTTCGGAATAATTTCTACTCCTGAAATAATATTCCAAGAAAATTATTTTTTCTATAATTTCTGTCTGAAAATTGTGCTGCGGCCTATACACGCACGCGGCCTATACATGCGTAAATACGGTATGTTGGATTTTACCAACGACTCGTGAATACCGGAAGAATGTTGAAAACAGAATCTACTAAGTTTCTAATGCGAGGGCCGCGCCATAGCTCAAGCTGTTAGTCGCTGGCTTCCCACAGCGGCGGCCCGGGTTCGATCCCGAGTCTGGTCAAGTGGGATTTGTGGTGGACAAAGTGGCGCCGTGGCAGTTTTTCTCC